GTGTGTGTGTGTGTGTGTGTGTGTGTGTGTGTGTGTGTGTGTGTGTGTGTACTAAGTCCTATTGAAAGGATCTTTGTAAAGAGAGCACTTGCCCCTTGTTTCAGTAAGCTAATCCATAAAAGATGCTTAGCATTAATGCTTTGTCAACTCAGGATGGGGCAAAATTATGAAACAGACTGAGCTTGTTTTGAGGACATACAATTCTTTAGCCAACTTCCCAGGAAGGCAGTGTGCTTCCTGATTCTACATACTGCTATAACTATACCTTAAGGCCTTCCTTTCAGGGGTCCTACCTCATCCCAACCCCAGGGTCTTCAGCCCCAATTATTCAAGACCCTACTGGATAACTTGCTACATTATTTTATTAAATAATTAGAGCTAAGCTGTTATGGTGATAATAGCTTCATGTGTTATACCTCCTTAGTAGCCCCTACCCCTGGTACCTCTCCCTCCCTTTGATTAGAGAGGTGGAGAGTGGACATTGGAGAACTCCTTCTAGATCCTCTATTTAAGGTGAGTGCCCAGGGCAGCCAACTCATTATTTCCTATCTGGCAGCAGGACTTTATCATGTTCCTATGTCAAATGCCTTCCTTCTTCTTACCTGCCCCAGCTTTTCACCTTCTTTTTATGTGTTTTTTTCCTTTCTGTTAGACTGGGAGCTCCTTGAAGGCAAGGACTGTCTTTTGCCTTTCTTAGTATCTCCAGCATTTAGCACAATGTCTATCACACAGTAGGAGCTTAATAAATGTTTATTGATGGACTGATCTGTTACTCTTAGTCTTAGTAATACAGTTGCATACTGACTAGGGCTTTAAATGCTTTAAGCCATAGGAATGGCTAATAGGAATTTTAGCCATAGTATGTGGGGAGTGAAAGTTTGGGGATTGTGTGTGATACTTTGGTTCTCCTCAAATTGCTCCTAGCAAGTAACTCTGTTCTAGTTCCAGCTCTGACAGGAACTTCCTGTGTGAAGTATTTTGGGTACTTTGGTCTTCACTTGGACTAGATAATCTCCAAACTTCCTTCCAGTGTGCAATAAGGCTTTGAGTCCATTAGAAGGAATGGAATCACAAGATAGAGAGTTGTTACAGACTTTAGGGATCATCTATTCCAATCCCCTCATTTCACAGATGAGGAAACTAGGTGAATATGATATGACTTCCCAATCATAATTCTTACTAGTAGAGCTTTGATTCCAAATCATGTTCTCCCAATCCAGTAGACTTTGTTTTGTTCCAGAGGGCATGACTAGAAACAATGTGTAGAATTTAAAAGGAGGGGACAGATTCCAACCCAATATAAGCAAGAACTAAAACAAGTAATACTGCTCAACATTGGAATGGACTTGCTCTGCTTATCAGGTAGAGAGCTACCTGTCATTGAAAGTATTCAGGCAGAGAATGCTTGACCATCTCAGAAATCATGTATATAATCCTGCCCTACAGGAAAATAGAAGGGTAAGGGAATAAGAGAAGGGGGAGGGGTGATAGAAGGGAGGGCAGATCAGGAGAAGGGGTGTTCTTGGGGTCGGGGGAAGGGGAGAGATATTGGAATTCAAAATCTTGTGGAAATGAATGTTGAAAACTAAAAATCAATAAATTAATTTAAAAAAAGAAATCATGTATATATTCTACATAAGGTGTCAGAACGGATTTTCCAATTATATCTCAGATTTCCTGATTCTATGTCAGTGAAGAACCTCCAGATAGAAAAGCAAGCAAATAGGGAGGAATCATAACCAAGGAGCAATTGGGAAGAGTGCTGAATTTAGAGTCGGAGGCTGTGAGCTCAAAACTCTGATCTGCTCTTCTGGGAGTTTGGAAAATGAAATAACAATAATAATGTAATGGCTTAAATTTATATAGTACTTTAAGATATGCAAGCACTTTACATATATGATTTTATTTGATTCTCACTAATTCTATGGAGTAGACACTACTACCTTCATTTCATAGATAAGGAAACAGGCTAGGAGAGCATGACCCTGTGCCAAACAAAGATTAGGAGTCTGAGTGGAATTAAAATTTTTTTTTTTACTATCTAGCATTTACTTTTTCTTCCACCTATTCCAGAGAGAAGACTTTCTCTCAAGTAAAGCAAAACAAATTCCCATAAAATGTGTGATTCATCTGCATATTATATCCACCACCTGTCTGTCACAGGGTGGCTAGCATCCTCATCATTGTTTGGGGTGAAATTTGAATCTAAATCTTCCTCCCTCCAGACTAGCACCCTCTCCACTCTGTCGAAGTCTCTTGGCTAGGAAAAGTCACTTAGCCTTTCAGGGTTTCATTTTCTTCAACTGTAAAGTCAGGAACGGGTCCCAGCTGGCTTCCAAGGGGCCTTGCACCCAGCGGTGCACGGGAGCCTCATCCTACCAGCTCCAAGCCATGGTAAAGTTTCCAGGGTGAGCATTCACACCATGGAAATCGGCAAACGCTACAAATCGGGGCTTGATTTATTGTTTTGTTGACTGTCGAGACTTAAGAAAGGGATGGGGAAAATGTTAATAATGCAGATGAAACGGAAAAGTGTGTCGTGAGCAGCCGCTGGCCCCTGGCCATCTGTGATCCTGGGAGTCTATGACAGGTGCCACGCACACGTGGATGTCTTCCCAAGCGGACTCCATTTCCCAGCATCCTCCAGGGAGCAGAAAGCGGAGCTCGGAGCCTCGCCCACGTGACTCCACAAGCCGCGACTCTCCAAGCCCCGCCTCCCCGCGCCTCCCCGGCAGTTTGTCCGCGTCGCCACCTCCCTCGACCCGCCCCCTTCCCCTCCCCCCCGCACGGACACCTAGACCTAGAGAGGGAGAGCGGACGAGTGGACGCGGGCGGGCGGGCTGTGAGAGGGAGCCGGGCGACGTGGAAAGATGGAGGACTGAGCAGGCGCGCGCCTCCTCGGGCCGGCGGCGGCGGCGGCCGCGGCCTCTCTGTCCCAACCACCCTCTTCGGAGCCCGCGGCGCGGGAGCCGGGACTCACCCAAGTCAGGTGAGGAGGGAGGGCGGCGGCGGCGGCGGAGCTGTCCGTGCCGTGGAGCCCCTGCCGGGACCCAGGAAGCTGTCAGATGGCCGGGGGAGGGGGAGTGAGTCAGGGTTCAGATGTGGGGGGGTCCCGAGGAGGCAGATGTGGGGGGGGGCTCTGAGGAGGCAGACGTGGAGGGCAGGGTCCTAAGGAGGGTCCCTAGTAGTTAAATGTGGATGGAGGAGGTCCCCAAGTAGGCAGATGGGGAGGGAGGAGGGGTCCCGAGCAGGCAGATGGGGAGGGAGGGAGGGGTAGAAGGTGATGGAGTGATGATACAGGTGAGACTGGATGGACTGAAAGGACAGGAATTTGGCTTCAGGGGTCATGGGGTGAGGAGAGCTGTAAGGGAGTAGGGCAGGGAGCTGAATTAGTGGTTTAGGGACAGTGATAAGTGGGTGTATAGGGATGGTTTGGAGGACACCGCGGATGGGGCGTCAAATAGGGGAGTGGGAGAGGGAAGGAGGAAAGTTATGGAAGAAGAGTAGGTAGGGTGGTTGCTGGTACTGATGTGAGTAGGGAGGTGGTGATCGGTGTTTATAAGGCGTTGTTGACAACATGAGTGAGGAGTGGAGCATTGAAGGGCTGATTGAAGGGTGATGAAAGGAGAAGGTTGTGAGGTGCAAGAGAATTCAGTCAACAAGAGGAGTGGGGCTCATAAGGGGTAAAGAGGGACAGTCTTTAGGAATTGAAGTTGACTTTTAGATGTAGATGGAGAAAATAATTGATATGGATTGAATTAAGGAGAGGATGAAGTAGTTAACCAGAAGTATGGGAAAGATATGTGCCAAATGGAATTGAGGGAAACTGTAAAACAGTAATGTTAAGTGCAGTGGGGAGGTTGTGAGAATTGGTGAGGCTATGGCAGCTGATTTGGATGCAGAGAATTCATCTAGTTGGTCTGTGACAAGAACAGAAAATAAATTATGAGCTGTGTTAAAAATAGATGTATTTAAATTGTTGGGGGAAAAGCTTGTCTTAGAATGTGTGATCCATTGAGTATTAGACAAGTAGATAATGTAAATACTTTTGTTCAACAGAAGAAAAAGATTTCACTTAATTATTTCCTGGTCTTTCTAGTTGGTCCTGCTAACCTCATTGTTTCATTTACTTTGTTTATGTAGGCTTATACTTCTGTAAGATGAGGGCAAGAACTTTGGATCACTTTTTTTCTTAGGTATGAAGGAAAAGCACTGGAGGGAAAGAAAACTGTCACATATTGTGATGTAATATCGTACCTTAAATAGTTGGACACTGTGGTTGTTCCTTTCTATCTTAGATAATAATGGTCAGCAGGCTAATTGTATATGTTGTTTAATGTCCCTTTCTGCACAGTTGTGTCTGGAGATAAATATTGTGGATGATTTCTTTCACTGCTGTTTTGCAATGAAAGTGACTTCTTTTAATTTGAGTAACAGGTAATGAAAATTGCCAAAGCCAGTAAAGGCAATTTCATTTTGCGATACATTTTATAGAAAAGGAATGAGGAAAACTCTGGAATTTACACATTTTGAATGTATACAGCATTGCTACATATTATACATTCTTGAAGTTAAATAATACTGTGATTCCTTGTAAACTATTAGCTGGGTTGCCTTATGTCTTTGTGGCAGAATGTTTGACACATGTGGCTTGGCTCCTGTATGGAACATGACATTGCAAGATAGATGACCACTTGGGAAATAAGATAGCCCCTATACTAGTGATGAGATAGGAATGATAAGATAACTTGTGCAGTTAAAGTAGGAATATACTTTCAAGTAGAGTAAGATAAGAGACATTAGCTCCAAGTTATTCTTAACTTCTTCAAGTCTCCTTACCTGACCTGAGTTAGTATAGTTGAGAATTGCTTTGGTCCAGAAAAACCAAGTAGAAAGATAGGTATCAGCTTCTCTTTGCTTTTTTGGCAGGGAGAGGATTCACTGACGCCTAAAGGTGAAAAGATACTTAAAAAGTCTTCCAGTTCAGTGCCTTGCTTCCTGATAGGACTACACTTTCTATTAGTGTCACCTGTCTATCTTACTCTTAAAAATCTCCAGTAATTTAGTTCCATAGTTTCAGTAGTTAATTTCAATGCCCCTCTTCTTATCAGGAAGTTTTTTTTCATTAAGTTTTGTCTGAATGTTTGCTGCTTCTAATTCTTCCTTTAAAATATCTTTCACCTCCATTCCTTCCTCTTTATTCTTCCTGCAGGTGAAGTATCACCACACTCTTTTCCTCCTCTAGCCCATCATAAGTAGAGCCATCAGGCTAACCTTCCTGAAACATCGATTTCATTACATGGCTGTCTTGAAGCCAATGGAGACTTCTGAGCCAAGAAAAGTGTCAAAATTCAAATGTGGCTTTCAAGGATCTGGCCTATCCCTACCTACCTTGTCTTCTCCTTAACTGGTTCTCAATATAAGTTTTCTGTATAAACCAGATACTTTTCATAGACCTTCTAACCCATCATCCTCATGTGATAATCTAAGATTTTGCTCATGTTCTTCCTTTCTTTTAGGCAGAGCTGTAAGTATGAATTCTGGCACTGTAGATAGGCATAGGTTGGTTGGGGGAGGAGGCTTTAGGAAGAGACGTTGGAGAGGTGCCAGGAGGCAAGAACAGAGAGGATCTGAAAGACCTTGGGATGCCATCTCTACTACATGGTAGCCTTTACTTTGATTGTGATATGTGTGAATTTTTTTGTGAGACGTTTACCTTCATTTTTGTGAGCCATTTAGGGTAGAGTCACATCAGGGGAATGGTGACCTGTTACTCAGTCTCACACCCACCAGCCAATACCTCATCTCCAAACTCCAGAAGGACATGGAAATGGGAGAGGCTGCAGGTAGGAGATAAAGTTGGGAGTAAAGTATTCATCCTAGGATGAATGGAGAACATAAGGCTATTGAGGCAGTGAGGTGTCATGGTCTGAGGGAGTTGAACCTTGGTTGTGGATAGTGTTCAAGATGATGTAGATGCCAGAAACTGTGCCATGGGACTGGTAGAAGGCCACCAGGCATGGGGACCACATGAAAATTGCCTGGAGAAGAGCTGTGTTCTTCTAAATTTTGGCACTCTGGGACAATGTTCTGGTTGTCCTATCTTAGGACTATCTTCTTTGCCTAGAGGCAGGGTAGCACAGTGGATAAAGTGCTGGGTTTGGAATCAAGAAGGCTGAATTCAAATCTAGCCTCAGACACTTCCTGTGTGACCTTGGCAGGTCAGTTAACCAATGTTTGCTTCAGTTTTCTTAGCTGTAAAATGGAGAAAATAAAGCACCTACCTCCCAGGGTTGTTGTGAAGATCAAATGAGATAATGTTTGTAAAGCACTTAGCACAGTGTCTGGCACATAGTAGGCACTTAATAAATACTTATTACCTTCCCCATTACTTCTCTCTGTTAATAGTGTTCTTCCCTCTTCCAAAAGCTCTCTATTATTTCAAAAGGCAACTTATGTCCTAATTTTTTCCATAAAGCCATTAGACTGCTCCATGCCATAATGAACAACCCACCCTCTGAACTTATTGTTGGTATCCTTTTTTAACCTTATTTATATAGGTTATTTCTATTTATTTATTTATTTGTTCATAAAGGATGTTCCAAAAACCTTAGTGAATTTTTGACCATTACTTTTTTAGGCTTTATTTAACTTATTTATATTTGTAAATAATATGTATTATTTATAAGTTTATTTAAGCTTTAATAACTAAGGCATAAAATTTCAGTAAGACTTTTGGAATGCTGGTTTTATACTGCTTTTCATGATTTCATAGTATATATGTTTTATATTTCCTTTGTTTCTCCTCTGCCCCACTCAGTGCTGTGCAAATAGGAGGCACTAAATAATTTCTTGTTGTGAATAAATGAATAAATGAACCCCAATATCATGGTTGGTCCACTAAATTATTCTCATTCCTTGCTCCCCCCCATGCCCCAAAGACTTTTTCTGTTGAATCGTGCCTATCCCTATCTCCAGTTCTAAAAAAACAATACAAACAAACAAACAGACAAAAAAAAACCGCTCTTGCATGATCACTATAGAATGTCAGTCCACTTTTGTTAAGGTCATCTTGAATGCTAGTCCTGTCTCCTAAGATGTTAATAACCCTTCTCAATTTGGTGTCACTTATGTACTTGAAAGTATGGTCACTTCCATCGTCTAGGTAAAAGAAGAAAATATCTCCCTGGGTGTATGTGGGGGGCACCTCTTGATATGTATATGCTGATTTGAAGCATTAGTCATCGCTCTATGGATTTGATTTTTTACTTATTGTCTGGATTGTGAGATTCAGCTTGTGTGGCACTCATTTGTGGATTACAAGTGTCGTGTCAGACAAAAGAAAAAAAATCTTACTCTACATGTTTACAAATTGGATTATTTTAGTACCGCTACAATTATTTACTTTAAATTGATTTATAACTTCAGGAGTTACACTCATGCCCCTTTAAAAAGATTAAAAAATTGACCTTCTTTTGGTCTCCAGCCACTCTTGATTCTTGAATTGTCATCAGTTCACTCTAGGGTATAGTGAATTGGGCTAATTGCCTTAAGTGCAGAACAGTGAAGGGTTTCCCTCAGCTGCTGAAAGTTGGTCCATGACTCAAGGAGGTAATGGGTGAGGAAAATAAGTCTATGAATCCACTAGCACACACAGTCAGCTCCATGGAGATGGGACTTTTCTTCCCAACTTGTAAACACCTGGGGCTGTTCTTTTGGGACTTCTTTTTTATTTTATGGTTGCCCTTGACCATTTTAATTTTATTTCACCTGGATAAAAATGTCAGTGAGGGGTATAGAGGAGAGAATAGTTCATAGTGTGATTTGTGTAGGAAATAAGTTTGCTGCAGTGATGTTCTAGTTCAACAACGTATCTTTTACATCTTTTTCTTGCATGTCTTTGATGGAATGGAATTAACAATTGTGTGCCCTTCAAATCCAAGTAAATACTTCTGGTTTTAGGAACTTTTAAAAAAATCTTGGGATAAG